ACTGACAAAACCTTTGACAAACAATCTTCAAGCCATCGAATTAAATTGCAATTTGAGCGTGTGTGCGAGTGGCCCAAAAACAATCATCTAGTCACAAAGGTGTGGAATGGAATGCAAGACTTTGGATGCCCGGAGACCGGTGCAGCATCTCCGAGGCGAAGGTCTTACGTGAGCGGGTTGCGTGCTCGGAAACAAGACCCCAGCACACTTGACGGCCCCAGAAACACACTATTTATATTATGTGAAGATGGGCCCAGACAATAGAAGCGATAATCATGCCTTAATTTATTCCTAATTGCTAACAAAACTACAAAAGGTCTGGCGTGGAAAATTGAAAAAGGGAAAGGACACGACCCTTGTGTGGGAATACAAATTACCGGAAGAGTCTTTATGCACTGTCAAAAATGAATAAAAAAAATATAAACCCAAAATCAATTGATAAGGGAATATTAACCATTCTATTTGAATTAAAGAAGTATTTAAAATATATTTTAAACAATTTTAAAAATAATTATTTAATTAATGGTGAAAATAAGTGTAAGACTACAAATATTTAAGAGAATACTAAATACTTTAATCAGTTTTATCTCTGTTACTTAGCTAAATGTTACACAACTGGATTCCCACGCGGTATTTGAGGTAATATTTGACTTGCACTTAAACAGTATTACTTCTTTCAACTTAAAATTATTCGACCATGTAAGACCGCAAAATGTTGTGGATTTTGACACTACCGAGCTGTTTGCTTAAGAAAAAATTGCCACATGCTGAGTTTACAATGTAAACACATGGTAGAAAGTGTTTTCAATCTGTATTATTTACGACTATACAACTAAATACGAAATATGTGCTTTAGAATTTATGGGATATGTTTTTCCAAGTGCACGGGGTGCCTTTCACTTTGCAAAATACCAGCCCGAAGAGCCTGTTACTTATTGACCAATGGTATGACAATGCAATTTCTCTCTTATTATTTTCCAGCACTTTTGGGCCCACTTGCAGTTGCAACAATGCATCTTGCCAGACCCGAAGGTTTGGCCAAGAAAAACATTCGTCGGAGTCAGCTAATTGTCGTTGAAAGTATATGCATTTTGCCAGAAAACATTAATAATATTTTATGTTTACTCGTCACACGGGGCGTATACTCACTAAAGTATTGGCCATTAGCTGTCACATTTGACCAGGAAGGGTCTTCGCACAGCACAGCCAAGTGGTTTGGGCCAGAAGTATTGCATAAAGCTTTCAGACATCGCTACGAATGTGGGTTATATAAAACACTGAAAGAGCAACAGCATCAGAAACCACTGAAGATGCCTCCAAAGCGCTGCGTCATTGACCACAAAACAGATATTGGAGTTTGAGCCAAACACGAGCGAAAAAAGAAAAGAAAACAGCCAGCGCATCTCAATAAGTTCGGGTACAAATCGACGTTATATTGATGAATCATGGCCCACGATTGCCGGACTCAGCTCGCTGAGTTTTATGAAGCCATCAATGGGAAAATCAAAAGATTTGGGCAGGGCAATGTCGGTACATATTTGGGCGATGTGTGTGTAAACTTTAGTTCCTGGTGCCCATGTTTGGTTTTTTTTTGCCAAACAAAGGTCAGCAAACACAGCATCAAGTTTATGCAAATTGGGCAGCGAAAATTGTAGGTATTAACACAAAGCAAACGGCGAATTACTCTGATCTTGGCCGATATTCTGGTTTAGGACCAGCCGCAACCGTATCGAGGTGAGATCGGAACATCGTTACACTCAATCAAATAAAACAGGCCGAATTGTAGTGCCAAGGCTGAACAAGGCCAATTTGTGTCTGCAGATTTGCAAATTGATTCATTGGCGAATGGTCGGTAAATGGGCAACACCTGCCCTAAATGGTGCCACCTTCAACCCAAATATGTATACATAAACATGTGTATCTGTTCTTAATGAGTTGCACATTACTTCAGGTCAAGAATGCTCCATGGGCACCATGACTAACCTAAAACCAATCCGGTTTCTTCGACAAGGTTTTGCATTAAGCGAACCGATTGAGGCGCAGACAATGATCCAAAACTCAGACCATATAAAAAGCGATGCCAATAAACTGCAGCCGCAGATTGGTTAGTAAATATGCATAAACTACTGTTCAGATAAGATTGTTAGGTTGGCTATTTGCCTTTTGTGGCGCACTTTTGCATGGATTTAAATTGATTGAGTTTTAAATGGATTTCCAAGTCGGGGTGCCAAATTGTCTAGCTATATCAGTATCACATATCATCTGATTTCTGCCTTTTTTGTTTTGATTTGGGTGAGCTATTGGCCAATTACCGATTTTGGCCAACTTCCAAGAGAATCACCCTGGCCGGCAACCTGTTTCGGATCTGCAGTCTAGTATTACAGCATTTCCAGATGTCATAAGACTATCCATAAAAGATAACGGGCCTTCTCGAGACGAAAGACTTAAGACACAAACTCGAGCCCGCGAAGATTCGTTGCCTAACTCATTTGTTTTTCAGCCTGCTGCCAACCCGAATTAAATAGTTGTTATCCGACACCCGTGAAAAGCAATTAAGGCCTCGCCAAAACCACAACAACAATAACAACAACAGAAACAGCAATTATTTAGTAAACTAAAAACGGGAAAAATGAAAACTGCATTTTACTCACTTGCCGCCTGCATGATCAAAAGCCAATCACAAAAAAGTTCATTTTGGCCACTTTTTTCTCTGTCGAATTTTGCTGCAAAATTTCTTTCCACGGAAATTACGATGATTAGTTATTTTCGACGGATGCGTGTAATTTTTCTTTACGATTTTCCTTGCACACTCGCATTCACTCACTGTTTTTGGGGGTTTGGGGGGCTACGGAAAGGCAAACTGGGGGAAACACAATAAACTTTTATTATCGTTATGTTCGCGACTCGTGCCGCAGATCGGAAGCGGATAGTTGATTTAATTAAATTTAATGAACTTATTATTTTTATCAATTATTCCGGCAGCGGTTTGAAAGGAAAGCAATGAAATGCGCGCAGATTGAACGAAAACACAGAAAATGTATATAGTGTATATAGTAAAAACCAAAATAAAACCGGTAGACATAAGAAACGCAAATGAGCGGGGTAAACACTCTCACTCTCTCTTTCGGCGGTAAAAGCGGTAAAAGATGGGCGGACGAAGGCGGCGACGCGGCCGAGATGCGCCGATAATCGCGCTACGCATGCGTAGGCGCCGGCAGAGGCGGTGGCAGAGACAGCGCGGACTGGAATGTTATATTTTTAGATCTAGCAGTAAAAACTACCTTATAAAAACCCTATTCCATTTACTTGCAATTTCCTATTTATTTCTAACAATCATTTGTTTTTAAACTCCACTTTTATCGTTTGTTAAAAAAGCATTTGATTGTTTTTAAGTGCTAACCTTTTAAAGAAAAATGTAATCCACTTTAAAATCATTAAACATTTTGGTAATGGCATAATATGTAACAATCAAAATAAAATACTTTATATGAGAGTTATAGCTTACGATTTTTCAATTTTAAAGCATTTTGGTATAATGACGTTTGATCACATACATTTGCAGCTATTACAATTTCCGTAAAAGAGCATTGAAAAGTATTTTCAACCAAAAATGTTATTACCTTTATGTTGTAAAGTTTTGATAGCTTTTAATAAAATGTTTTTTATTTCATTTTTATTTATAATTTTAATTCAAGTAAACTTTTTCAAATTTGTTTCGGAAACAAGTAATAGTTATGGAGTAATTGCAATTCGGACCACTTTTAGTTAAGTTTAGCTAATCGGTAATTTTCCAAAAATACGTAAACGTAATTCAAAGCCTGAGTTAGGTATAACTTTCATCCATTGGATATGAACGATTATATGGTAATTTTAATTTCGGATAAGGCAATTAAAGTCTATTTTAAAGCTAACTATGCCATTCCTCACAGAATTTGACTGATTTTCATTAAAAAACCAATAAAACGTGTCGTATACGTAATAACATGCTGAATCGCTGTGAATTTGTGACTGAATCTCAAGATATTTGGTTAGCGACACATCCAGCGGCACTCCAGTCACTCGGCACTTGGCTCCTTCGCTGCTCTCTTGAGCATAACAACAACTTTCCAATTGCCAGCGCTTTGGTTTGTTGGCCAGCGCTCCATAATTTCCTCGGCCGTCTGTCTTTTTGGTCTATTGTCACTGCCAACTTAAGGCGGCTGCGCACATGCCAACTACCAGCCACGCCCCCAAAAACAAACACACTACGTTAAACAACACTGCGACGGCACGTTCAGCGCCAACAACTAAAACAACAACAGTTCTGCCTCGTTTTGAAACTGGCAGCATAGGTAAAAGTTGTTTTCGATACGCTTTAATTTCGTTAGCTCTTTTGGCCGCGTTAATTTTTCGCCCGAAATTAGCGCAAAACCGATTTACACACACAATAACCGAAACACTTAACACTGCCCAAATCAATGTTAGCCCGATTAACAGGCACTCGATTTAATTTTGTAACTAAAACACAATCAAATATTAAGCGGTGGATCGGCTGCGATGTTATTGCCTTGGCTCCCCAAAATATTTAGACTGTGTTGCCAAAGCGAAACGTTAGCGACTTACAACCTGCGTATATCGCGATCACCTGGCCAGGTGCGAAACTAAACTTGTTGCTCTGGCGCGCGGCCAACGACTGAATGCCCAGCGCAATCCGAGTTCGAATCGAAGTTGGTATCGCGGTTAGCCGAAGAAACTCTAAATAACCGAGTGCCCTCTCTTTCGCTCTCTCAACTCGCCGAGCGGATAACTGTAAAACATATACCTGATATAGTCGGAAAACCGAAATTAAATACGATATATGATATAAAATACAAAGTGATAAAGTTGTATATAAAGTTTTTTTAATTTAATATAGGCATTCCTTGTATATCTAGTTCAAAAGTCAGCTTCTGTATAAGGAATCATTTAATGATGAACATATATCTGTGGTTTTAATTAAAAATACTTTATTAATTAAGGATTTCAGTTTAGATTTAAAGGATTTAAATCGGAAAATACTTTAATCAGGGTGAAGGTTTGCATTTTTCATGCATGGAGTGGAAAACATTTGCGGCAGTTCGTTTATCCATTTTGTTAGCACTATATAAAGATTTTAAAAAGTGTTATTTAAAATATACAATGTTGTAATCCTACCGTATTTGGAACCACTAATCACTGGACAGGCTGAGTGTAGGGTCTTCAAATTCATATCGCCAGAGTTGTGCAGATTGTACCACAAGAGCGCCGATCCTTTTTTTGGCGTTACGCTAACATTAATGATAGGGAAGATAGTGAACCCACCAGAGTCAACATCTCCCAGCTGAAAAGGATTACATGTTATAATGAAATTTGTGATGAATTGAGCAGACTTACGTAAAACAAAACAGTGGCCAAGCGATCCCCTTGCCGTTTTCGCATCTGAACAGATTGTAAAGTATTACAAGATTATTATTAAATCCTCTAAAAAACTACCTGATTTGTGAAGTTAAAAAAATCATAGTGCAATATATAGTGGCCACCCAATCCGTATTAATCAGGGAGAACGCATCGCTCATTTCCATATTTAAGCCGGTCATATCCGCCACACGGTTTTCTAGTCTGTCGATATCCTCTATATTTGAATCCTTAGAGGTTCTCACATCGGACTTTTGGCCCTCATCGACGAGGGATAAGAGGAACTTGCTGGAGTTAGCATCGAATCAATTTCGCTGTCGTAGATCACATCGTGGAAAATCACCATGTAAGGATCGGTACTAAGCTCCTCCATTTTCAGGGGGGCAATTCGCGTGAAGGGGGTCGTGGAGCTGTTGTAGCGACAGTGCAGTCGACTAGGTTTTCTGTAAACAGCACTGCAGTTTCGCTCTGTGGCTAACTCATTCTGAAAGTGTAATGATACAGTCCTGGGGCTTAATTCTTTAGGATCTTTGTCGATGTGATTAGAGGCGTCAGTTAATTGATTTTTCTTCATCAAAAGTAATCCCCACGACGTGTGCACTCTCTGTCTGCTAAATTTAAAGGCCTATAACTAAGTTATCCTTTGTGAATCGAGCCAAAGAGGTGTTGAACCAAGCCTCGGCAAGACTTCATTCCTAATTGTAGGCTGAACTCTCCCAGGGCTAGGCAATCCTGAGCTGAGAGTGCTGTTCTGGAAGCTTAATTAAATTCTATTCAAATTTCATATCATTTATATAAACTTACTGTGGCTTTGAGTAACCGCTATGTTACCCGCTGCCAGTTCATCCGGCTTAAGATTATAAAAGGACATCAAGTCATTAATACCGCGACAGGCAACTTCCAAATCTAACGAGTTGGGTAAGCGCGTTCTCATATTACGTGCCTTCTCCATGTGGACTGAAAAAATAATATTTTTAAATGTTAATTTCCCCGGTTCTATATATTGGTATTACCTAATGATCCTCATTTGTTTGAGGGCATAATCATGCCATTTTCTCCAACTCGTATGTAGGCGATCTATCAGCCGAAAGCTGTTTAGAGGATTTCCCAAATACGCTTCATAATCACTTTCATTTCGTTGTGCTCGGTATTCATAGTTATCAGGGATCTATAGAAATTCAGTATTATACAAGAAAACATTTTTGTTTACCCTTACTTTTCGATCAAATGGAGTTTTTTCTTCAATATTTCGACGTAACCCTTCAGGTTCTCTACCAGCTCATCCTCAACATCCAAAAGCTTTATCAGTTCTACTGTTGAGACGGCAACGATTTTTTAGAACGGGTTGGGCAAATCCTCGAGGCCAAATTATACAAGCACATAAACATCCTATAAAGCTCAAATATTTTAAACTGAACATTTTACGTTCGGAGTTGGCATTGGCAAATGATTTATAGACTTTGTATTGATATTATTGATATTAGTATTTTGTAACATTCTAATTATATTAGTTGAGCTTTACACTAAGAAAAACAGGTATAACCAAATAAGCTCTCACAAAACACAATAAGTTATTTTGGTTTAGAGTCAGTTGAAAAAAAACAAGCTTTTTAAAATAGAAGAACGTGCAATATATAACTTTGAATAAAAATTATTTTTTTTAAATGTGTTTTGAAAGAAGCTTAGAAAACACCGAGCACCACAATTTTTATCTGTAGCTTAACCAATTTAATTAGACCTTGACGGACTACTTTAACATAAAGAAAGTATTTCCTACCAAGTTTACAAGTCGTTTGCCACTTCGTTCCACAACCGAAATGCTCAAGAACAAATATATAAAATTCTTGCCTTTTTAGGCGTTATTATTATTTGCTACATTGGATTTGGAAAGGCTATTCAAAAGAAATCCTATGCCGCTTCTTCGATCGAAATGTTAAAGCTCCTGGAGGTTGAGGATGAGCTGGTAGAGAACCTTCATACCTACGTTAAAAACCTGAAGAGAAAGTTAAACTTATTGGATAAGTATGTTTAAGAAGAAGTCATAAGTAATTACACATTTTTAAATTTCCCGTAGGTCCCTATTAACTATGAAAGCTGAGCAGAACCAGATGAAGGAAGACTATGAAACCTACTTAGGAAATCCCTTAAACAGTTTTCGGCTAATACATCGTCTACACACCGATTGGAGGAAATGGCATCATTATGCCTCGAAAGCCAATAGGGGTGAATTAGGTAGTATAAAATTATTAAAAAATACAAATCAAATTTATCCTCAGAAAACATTGAAAGGGCGCATCAGATGCGAAAGCGGCTACCCACCGCTCTGGATTTGGAACAAGCGTGTCGTGGAATCGATGACCTGATGTCTTTTTATGACCTTAAGCCTGGAGAACTGGCAGCTGGTAATTTGTCAGGATACTCAATTAAGAGTAAGTTTAGACAAGTGAAATAAATTAACAAAATAAGCCTTAATGACTAACAGAACAGCACTGTCAGCTCAGGATTGCTTTGCAATGGGAAAGTTCTGCTTAAGGGATAGGAAAGAAGATCGGGCGGAAGACTGGTTCAACGTCACCTTGGCCAATTTCAATGAAGACAAACTCCTGTACAAGGTCAATAGATTTAGCAGGTTCTCCGTCCACAATACGTGGGCTGCCCTTTTGGTTAAGAACCAAAAGCTTTTTGGTGATTCTTATCAATTTGGAAAACTACCAAAAGAATCAAAGAAGAATCAACTTTATCAATGGATTAATGAGGAAATATTGACTAAACGAACTGCCGTGCAATCTTCCGCCCACCAAGTCGACTCCACTGTCGCTATAACAGCTCTACGACTCCTTTCACGCGAATCGCCCCTCTGAAAATGGAGGAGCTGAGCACCGATCCTTATATGGTGATTTTTCACGATGTGGTCTACGACAGCGAAATCAATTGGCTGCTAAACACTACCAAACTTACTTTATCCCTGGTGGATACAGGTACAATGTCCGAATTCCGAGCCTCGAAGGACTCGAACATTTTTTTGCCGCAAAGGAAAGTAGTCAGGACCCTCGAAGAACGGGTAACCGACATGACTGGGCTAAGCATGGAAATGAGCGAAGAGTTCTCGCTAATCAACTACGGATTGGGTGGGCATTATGTGCTCCACACCGACTATCACAATCACTTTAACCAGGTGGGATATTTCCGGGACTATTGAGCTGTTAACTCATCTTTTTGAATCTTGGCAGACACGATTGGTAAGAGGGGATCGTTTAGCCACAGTATGTTTTACGTAAGTCAGAGAGTAATACGAATTCCTTGGCTTAAGATGAAATCCCTTCCAGCTGGGAGATGTAGACTCTGGTGGGGCCACGATTTTCCCGATGATCAATGTTTCCGTAACACCCAAGAAGGGATCGGCCGTCTTCTGGCACAATCTCCACAACTCCGGCGATATGAATATAAAATCGATGCACTCGGGTTGCCCTGTGATAGTTGGTTCCAAATACGGTAAGAATAAATTTAAAATTAAAATTTTATAAAATTATGCCTTTTTGCAGTGCTTACCAAGTGGATAAACGAGCTGCCGCAAATGTTTGTGACTCCTTGTATAAGAAAAAACTATTTTCCGACAAAAAATGTTATAAATAATGACAACTGAACTGAAAACTTTAAAAACAAGTTCTTTCTTTTGGTATATAAAAGAATAAGATATAGAAATAGAGCGGATTCATTTAATGTCACTCAGACTGTTTGCTTAAAGCCATGTATCTACTAGCTGGACCCCACCGACGTTGCTCGGGTCAGGCGGTATTTTTGCACGACATAGTGCGCCCCTTCCTCCGAAGTCAACTGCTCCACATACTGCTCCTTCACGAAGCGATTGCTCACAGCATTCAGTGAGTCCTTAAGGAAGCCGAAATGCACAATGGCATTGGGCACAAAGTTCAGCTCCAGGAGCGTCTCGTTGGAGGGCAGCACCTTCTTCGGTGGGATGGTGAAGAGGTGGAACTGCTCGCCAGGTTGGACCAAAAACTCGCGAACAAACTCCTCCACTTTCGAAAGGGGCTCGTGCGGTTTGAAAATGCCCTGAAGCACAAAGCGATCGGGGAACTGGATGCGCAGCACACAGTCCTTGTACTGATTAAGCTTCGCCAGCATGGTCTTCTGACGCTCCAGCTCCCTCAACTTGGCTGTAAGCAGGGGAGCGTCATCATCTCCGCTCGAAGTGCGCTTCAAATCGCGCAGCACCATCTTAAGATCGTTGACGGTCAGGTCAAAGAATGAGTCTGGCAGGTCGTCCGCATTTTTCTTGGTCTCGTCCAGGGAAAAGAGTACCGCCTGACGGGGCCCAATCACTTTTACCACTGGCGGTGCCCGGCTGGGATTCTCCTCGGCTTCATTCTCCTCCTGTTTCCGCTCCGGCGGATGGTGCATTGAGTATCCGGAGCCACTACCCCAGTCGTACTTGGGTGCCTCTGGCTGTGGTTGCTGCTCTTGGTTGGATTTATCCGATGGCTTGGCTGCTTCACTTCCGGATGTATTTTCCTCCGGTGCCGTGCGCTTCAGATTCTTGATCATGTTGCTGGTGAGAGCAAAGCCACCGCTTCCCCCGCTACCACCAGCTGCCATTGCAGAGCGGGAGGTGCTGGGCTGGTCGTCGTTATGCACCGGAGGCTTGACAGCGGGAGCTTTGTAAACATTTGCCTGGGTCTTGAGATCCTCGGGCTTCTTGTCAACTAGCCGCATCATGGCTCGGCCTTCCAGGATGCCTAGGGATTTCAACGTGGTCTGGCGCATCTGGTCCTGCCCAATGACCTCGCTGCGCATATAGATGATGACGGGGCTGTCGTAACTTTTAATCTGCGACTCGCAGAGCTTATGGACCACCTGCCAAACAGTGTCGCTGGGTGAAAAGTCGGCCTGCTGGCGGGATCCGTCGTTCAGCTGGACGCAGACAAGAACGTTGCTCAGCGTGCGTCGCTTCTCCGTCTGCTCCATCTCCAGGACACAGTTGTTTGGCAGGCCGCTGAATCGGAACTGCTGCGTCAGGCTGACCACCTTGTTGTGGAACTTAAGGCAGTGCTCCTCTGCATCGTAGCCGTGCTTGGAGCAGGCCGTCTCCAGGATCTCCAGCAGCGTCATGTTCGCCGTCACGCTCACATTCTGCCGCCGCCCATTGGGCAGCAGGATCGTGACGCGCTTGTCCATCGGGTTGGCAATTGCCCTGCAAGGATTCGGGTCGGTATGGAAACTAAGGAGCAGTGGCAAATGGGAAACCCACCTTTATTGACGTTTTGCGAAAAGGCTACGTTCCGGAAAATTGCCGGCTGGAATGGGAATTTTGATTCTATCGATAGTCCCGCTATTTGTTTGTTGCGCTGCGTGACTTTCGCTTTTCCCCCGATAGAGATGCGTGCGTGACGTAAACATCGGTTAACATTGACAGCCGCTATGTGCATATTAAAAATTCAATTTAGATTTTAAAAGTATTTGTATGATAATTCTGGCCGATATAGGAACACCTTCGAAATATACATATTAAAACTCAATGGATAACAAAAATTTAAAATTATTCCCTCGAAAATCAGAGGTATTAAATTTAGCATTCAATTAACATTTCGAGTTACTAATGTCTATTAAAAAAATATTTACATTAATCATATTTAACACTTAGAAAATATTAAAACTACTCAACAAATTTAAAAGCCACATATCGATAGATTCCAGTGAATCTTCTTCTTCTATCGACTGCAGCTGCCTGTGTATCGAAATATTATTGATTGCAGGAAGAAGAAGCAGCAGGAGAAGCAAAAGAAAGGCGCAGCTCGTTAAATCAAAACTGTTCAAAAGGGAATTCCTGGCAGAACCAAGTTAAAATTAAGTTATCCCCTGTCGAAGGACATGCTCTAAGTTCCGGGGAAGTCCCCATCGAGTGAGATTCAGCATTTTGAGTGACGCCCAGCCAGAGCGAGCTTTTTAAGTCCCGAGCCTGAAAATACGCCGATCCAGCGTAAGATTCTTCGAGAAGTCCGTTCCGCCATATAGCCATTATGACCAATCTGGAGAAGCAGCACGAGATGGTGAAGCGCAGCCTGGTGCAGTTTATCAGCGGCCACATCCCAGGGGCCGACTTCAGCGTGGTGGACGAGATCGTCCTGTCGTACATCATCTCAATTTTGGAGAGGCCTCTCAGGATCCGTGCTTCGACGTGGAGGGCTTCGTGGAGATGATGGGCGCCTACTTCGAGAAGTTCCCCACCATTGACCAGGGCATCATCTGCGACTGGATCTACAAGCTGGCCAACGAGCTCACCGAGATGGAGAAGAACCAAGGAGGACATGACACTATCAACTTGTCGCTCAAGTGTGTTTTAATTCTTATCCTCCCCCAAGAACTGTGGCATTTAATCTGTACTACATCTGCAGCTCCCTGAGCCTGTCGAGCATTATTCCGGAGTCCAAGCTACGTGCTCGCAACTCGTCCACTTCCGAAAGGACGAGCTCTCCTCGAACAGCAGCAGCAGCGGCGGGGGGGCAGCAATAAGCGCTCCCAGCACTTGTCGGAGACCAGCGATGGAGGCTCCACGGATAGCTCCAGCTCGACTTGTGACTACTTCCTGGATGAAACCGAAGTTCTCCAGGAAATGTTTCCGGATTCGGCCATTGCCGAGGTAAAATTAGTTTTTGGAAATGGTAGTTCACAAGTTCTTTAATTTTTCATTATCTATTTGCAGATCAAGCACTGCATCGCCATTTCCAAAGGCGACATCGATAGCGCAACCCAGATCCTCTTGCATCGCCAAGAGACCAATCAGTGTATCATTGACAAGTCGCATACTACTTACATCAAGAAGAATGTTGTCGTCGACGATAATGAACTCAAGAATCGTATTATTGCTAGGTAAGTGAACAGTTTCCAGAGACACAAGGTAATATAATTAAGCAAACTTTGAAATGGATATGAATAACTCTTATCTTTTCTTTACTATCATTAAATACTATCTATATTTGACCTGTCCTTAGGTACTCTTATGTGGACAAGAACGCCACCCAGCGCGAGTACAAGCCGGTGGTGCCGAAGATGGAGCCGCGCAAGCTGGTGCGCTACCGCGACAACAAGATTGTATCGCTCAAAGGGAGCGGTACACCGAGATCAAGCGTGACGAAGATGCTGAGTTAAAAAAACCCAAGAAGCAGATTCAACCGTAACTAAAGAGGAACAAAACCCTCTTCAAGTATTTTATCAAGAAGCAAATTAATCCACACCCCAGTAACTTATCCGCACCCTCGATCTTCGCCAGCAGCAGTAGCTGCAAATCCACCGGCAGCAGAAGCCATCCCGAGCACAGCTTATGCAATCATATGCATATTGTTGGGTTGGCCTCCGCTAAAAGCCATGCCAGCACCTATCCCAGCTCCGTACCAGTGATTCCCGCCAAGCTTAGCCAACGTTTAGATGCTTCCCAACACGACGACGATGAGACACGAGAGTTCAGAGACAAAGACGAGCCACCGAGCACAGCGAATCGGTTCCCATATCCGAGTGAGTATGGTCAGGAGTTTGTGGCATCGGCCGGCATGGTTGTGCTACTGTTGCTAGTCGGCCGTCACCATTGGACATCGACATCTCATCGCGCCCATCCCCATGACAAAGACAGAAAGACTTTACATACCAAATTAGTTGATAGTTATGCTTTAGGACTACTCGCTTATGCAAATTTTGAGAGCCCATCCGCCGCGGTGGCCGTCTGCTTATGAGTCCCGTTGCCGGGAGCAGGCAGCCCGGACGGATCTGGACCAGGGTCTGTATCCGTTGCCAGTCGTCGATTATGACGACTGGGGTCGCGCCTGCGCTGTGACTTCTCCTTAGTTCCTTACGCAAGCGAATTCGAATCGAACCGTATCTGTGAAAATCGTGAATCTCAAACTCTTTAATGTCCTCGAACAGTATTGTTAAACCTACTTCGAACCCTAGGATCAGTCGCAGGTGCGACACCCAAACCGAATTTGGCGCTCAAATAGACTTATTTAGACGTTTTTAGGTACTCGAATTGATGAATTTTGTTGGCCGTGTGCGTGTTTCAGAAACGCAGCTGCACAAGAAACTTGCCATATCTGTTTAAGATTTGTTAACCCATTTTGTATCGTGTAAATCGTTTTGTTTTCCTCTGGTCCAAGCAAACTAGCAACAGTAATCTAGCAACAATGCCACCAAAGCCACATGCAACACAAACTAGTCCTCACCGCCCACTGAGATATCTGGAACCCATAACAATTCGGCTACTGCTCGGTGTAAGACAGCAATACTAACAATAATCTAAACGTATTCAGCATATACACATGTATGAACTAATCGAATAATCAACTATTTATAAAGCGTAGCCTATCCCCTAATCCTTTCCGATTATTGTAACAATTGTAACCTACAATATCACACGGCAGACCCTCGCCCAATTCATGTTAGATTTAAGAATCCTGAACAATGTTCGGCCGTTTTGAGTTTGTCACTTTTTGTTTGAGACAAAAAAAATAATACATACGTTTTATCATTTCTTTTAACGCTCATAATTTAGAATAAGTTTTAATCCCCGACCACCGCTTATTAATTATGTAACCAATTGCATTTTAAGCACCTCGAGTTTTCTGATTTTAGTTCAGCACTACACGATCGGTGTTTCAACCATCATATATTCGTATTTATATTTACATGGTTTCGGTTTGATATTAACATCTTATATTTTTAATATTTTTAGTTTTATATATTATTTTTGTGATATTAGCGTAAAAATCAACTTAAAGAAAAGGCAAAACTCTCGAATTAAACTTTTGAAATTATTAAATAAACTACTATCAATATTTAACGCATAAAAACATTGTTTTTAAAGGATGTTTTAAGGACTAGAACATTGGGAGTTAGGTTTGACTTATATAATTAATATTATTCCAAAAAATAATCGGCGTTTCGGTAAAAAAAAAAATAATTGTTTCAAATTAAGGTATCAGACAATTTTATCTGTTGCTTTAAATTTTGTGATGTAATTTAAAAATAATAAGATAAATAAATAAAATTAAAAAAAGGTAAGAAATAGCTACAAAATAGCTGGAAAGCCAACACTACTTCCATGAACTGGTTCGTGGGCGTTGTATATTCGAATTCCCAGCCAAGCAATATGGCGTTGTCCCCGCGTCTGGTCACACTGCTGGCATAGGTTTTTTCGCACAACTCATTATTGTCGAGAAAATCCACGTTTTGGGCTAAAATGACCACAATCGCGGATTTATTCACTAAGTATAATTGCACAAATTGCCAGGACGATATTCAGGGCATTCGGGTGCACTGTGCGGAGTGCGAAAATTTCGATTTGTGTCTGCAAGTAAGTAACCCACACATACACGCAATCAAGCGACGCACATTCATTTGTGTGTGTGCGGTAGGGTGGGCCAAATTATTGGGGTTCCAGAATATTTAAACAAATCCTAGATTGAAATTGTAAACCATCTAGAAAAATGTAACCTTGCTATACAAAAAGAACAATAAAATAAAATTTAAATATACCTACAAATGTATTTAAAATCGATGTAATTAATAATCAGATAGGAACAAAAATTAAAAATATGGATTCCTTTTTGGTTTTTCCGTAATAAATGTCCTAAATACATATGTATTTTTGAGGCATTCTATGAGGGGTGAAAATGTGTATACTAGAGATTATTCCCATAGTTGAGAATTCTTCGAAGATCTTTTTCACCCCTATCTTTCTTTGTAACATAATTGACCCACCCTAATGCGCCAATACTCGAGCGGTCTAGAGATGCGTCGCCAAATCTGGAACCGAAAAACTGACTCATCTGGAAATACATATGAATACATACACACAACCGGCAATTTCACCATGTTGATTAAAAAACAGCTGACTTTGTATTTACGCTGTATTATTGTTTATTTTTTGCGCAGTGCTTTGCTGCGGGAGCGGAGATCGGCGCCCATCAAAACAACCATGCATACCAGTTCATGGACACGGGCACCTCCATATTGAGTGTGTTCCGTGGTAAGGGAGCATGGACGGCCCGTGAGGAGATCCGCCTGCTGGACGCCATCGAGCAGTACGGCTTGGAAACTGGGAGGACATAAGCAAGCACATCGAGACCAAGTCGGCGGAGGACGCCAAGGAGGAGTATGTGAATAAGTTTGTGAACGGCACGATTGGAAGGGCCACTGGACGCCGGCGCAAAGTCAGAGACCCCGCCTTATCGATCACACGGGAGACGACGATGCCGGTCCCTGGGTCCACTGCCCTGTCCACCTTGCCTCCGCTGGACATCAACTCCGATGAGGCCATGCAACTGGGCTACATGCCCAACAGGGACAGCTTCGAGCGGGAATACGACCCCACGGCTGAGCAACTGATCTCCAACATCTCGCTGAGCTCCGAGGACACTGAGGTGGACGTGATGCTCAAGCTGGCCCACGTTGACATTACACCCGCCGCTTAGAGAGCGAGCTCGCAGGAAACGGATGGTCAGGGACTACCAGTTGGTCTCGAACTTCTTCCGCAACCGGAACTACGCTCTGCACCAAGGACTCACCAAAGAGCAACGCGAGTTCCGGGACAGATTCCGGGTCTACGCCCAGTTCTACACCTGCAACGAGTACGAGCGGCTAATGGGGTCACTGGAGCGCGAGAAGGAGCTGCGCATCCGGCAGGCGGAGCTGTATCGTTATCGCTACAATGGTCTGACCAAGATCGCGGACTGCGCCCACTTTGAGCAGCATGCAGCTAGTGCGACTCACCGCTCCTCAGGACCGTATGGCCACGGCAAGACCGTAAGTGTGAAGTTCCGCTGCGGAGGTTTGAAATCGAACAGTCCAAACATATTTTCCTTATCGAAATTCTAAAACTTAACTTTTTGATGTTAACATGCGTTTTTTAAATGAAGTACTTTCTAGAACGAACCCTAATAATTTCCGTAATTTTACAAACTGTTAAACATTTTAAGAAAGTCATTTCGTTATCCTCTGTTACAATTACAATTTAACTTTTTCCATATAAAATAAATACATTTTAATATAATAACTATTTGAATTTAATGTGCAATAACAATTAAAGCTTAATATAAATCGATTCGGACTTCCGAAAAACAAAGTTTAGAAATTCAGATAGGACTTCGATTTCATTCCCCTTGGAGTGAGCTTTTCCCATGAGAATGCATGACGAGTTGAATATCGTGTGTTCTACCTTGCTTTTACCGACCTGACCTGACCTGACCCAACTCTTACAATCGCTTTTCCGTCTTGTCTCACGATATTCAGCTCCACTGCATTATAAACGCGCCAAACAACGAGCGTTCGAATGGTTCTATAAGACAATGTTTAACCACAGGACCACACGCAACCCTCCAATGGAAGTCATCGGGCGCCAAGCTCTTCCTTGCACTCCCCACAACCGAATCTCAGAAAGGTGTAAGTAGATGGCTAAGAAGTTGCGATCCATGGGCTTTGTTAATCAGATTCTTTGGTTTTGGATTTAGCGAAATGTCAAGCGGCGTCGAGGCAAATTCAAGTTCAATCGCACCAAGAAACACGCCCCTCATCGTCGACCCGACCTGCTCCGGCGCATTATTGCCCAGCAGAAACTACTTGGATAGCTGTCGGGGATCGTCGGCAGCTACGATGCTGCAGACGACGGGGATGGGAATGGGGATAACAGTGGACTCGGGAGCGACGACGGGAGCGATTTCCACGGCTACGACGATGGCGAATCTGCCCACGAACTCGGCGAAGGGAAGCCAACAACATCTGCAGCCGCTGCAGCAGCATCCTCAGCTTCTGCAAGGCGGCCACCACAAAATGCAAAGCGAGGCCGCCGGCGGAAGCAGTGAGCAGAAGCCCAGCATGAGCCTCAAGTTGCGCACCCAGCTGGAGGAGCTGAAACACTTGCCCCAGCCGCTGGCAGCGACCTGCTTAGCCACAACGAGCTGGATCTGTGTAAGAAGCACAACATCACGCCAACCACATACCTCTCAGTGAAGACTGTCTGCCTGAGCGGAGCACCATCGCTGGGCAGTCCTATGGAGACTTCGCTGCGCAAGTTCTTCATCAAGTGCGGCTGGCTGAGCCACTGATGGAACCACTTCCACTTTCCCGCGCCCCTTCGATTAAGAGCTACATGCATTTCTCGATCTAAGGACTTCACTTTATTTTATTATCGTTAGCATAAGTTAAAGACATTTTTATACTGTTCAACTTTCGTTGCCATTTTCTTCGAGGTAAAAACTACATAAAACAGAAAATCAATTTACTTGTATCAAGTCAAGCTCAATTAGATAAAGTTTTGTTCCTTTGTGTGAGATGTTAGGCTTCAGATATTCTGTATTAACTAAACTTAAGTAGGTGACCCAACCAATTGAAATTGTATGATATGAAGTGTAAATGAAGTAATAAATGTAATAGCGAATGTGCAACAAGGACGCGGACTTGTGTCTCGGAACTCACAGCTGCCAGGGAAACCGCTCGGGACTAACCCCACTAGGATACACTTGTGAGATGTACAATTTAATGCAAATCGATAATTAGTAAGCCTCTAAAAGCGATATTGTCGCGCTGAGTATTCATATTTGTATATTATTATTCAACATAATTGGTAGATTGCTAGGAAAATAACTGGGGTTGTTGGTCATTTTTTATTCAAAAAAGAAATACCATCGATACGATATTTTTAAAAATATTGGAGAAATCTAATAATAACTAAGGCGGCATAAGTTATACTAAGAACAACTATAATATATAATAGATATTCTACGATTTTTCATTGGCTATATTTCAAAGCTGAGAAAGAAAAATATCACCATAATTCAAGAAAGTATTGTTCATTAGATATTAACATTTTTGGATCATTTTATTCATTTACAACCAATTCTTTTGAAAAAATTCATAATAATGTATAAGTGATGTTCAAACTTAATTTTTTTCTTTAATACAAGTTAAAATTTCACGGTTTATTCAAATAACTGCCAAATGGCTCAGTCCTAGGAATCTACCATTTTAAATATGTATCCTAGCTTAGGTTCGTCCAAAGCGGCGCCCTAAAACTTACAATCTGTAACCGTATACCTACAAAAATATATCATATTTATAAACGGATTTATTCACTTTGTTCTTACAACTAGAAACGATGTGATGCTTGGATGCACTGCATCACTTGTTCCGCAGAAAGTAGCGATATAACGTGTTCTTCTGTCCTCCGCTGGCGGTGGTGGCAGTAGCTGGTGCTCCACTTGCAATCGCTGTGGATGTGGTGGAACCTGACCCGTTCGTTTGCTCCACGGCAGCCACCAAGGAACTGCGCCACGATGCGATCAACTCGGTTTGCAACTCCACGGGCAGCTCCTTGAACACCTCTGCATCCACACCCGCTGGACAGGCGATATTCGTGAGGACATCACTTGAAGAATCGCTGGTTGTGGTGGCAACCACTGCTGTTGTAATGGGTGGGGCGAAAGACATGGTTGGTGTGCTGGGCGCGCTCATCGTCGTGGAATCGTCCATGGGCGAAGGAAGTGGCGATGAGGCCGTAGAGCTAGCGTTTGAGCTTAAGCGACTGGCAGTGCGCGTGGATACAAACCGGAGGCTGCCGTCGATTCGCTGCAACAGCGTGTTCGGTGGCTGGACGGTGCGGAAGCGAGGAGCAGGCGCAGATGTAGAAGTAGATGGAGTTGTGCTCATGGGGAAGTCCTTCTCGCTGTCCCGCGAGTTCAGGCGCAAATCACAGACACGCAGTTTGCTGGGTGAGGCTACCTCCGCGGCGGAATCCCCAACATCCGCCGCCAAACGGCTGCGCTTGGACACTAGTAGCCGGCCAATGCGGCTCTTTTTCGGCGAGGGCTCCACCTCCGTCTCAGAGAAGTCGCTGAAATCTGAGTTAGTAGCCGCCGATTCCGATCCATTATCCAGAAGCATGGAACCGGCGATGCTGTTGTGGCTCTTCTCCTATAAAACTGATCGCTCGGCTTGAATGTTGTTGGTGAGGAGCGGAAAGCGGATTCGTCCGAGGTAGGACTTTCCGCTGTGGGACTTGTGAGACTCGTGTTTGTCAGTGAGGTGATCGATTGCACCTCCAGATCCGCCTTCTTGATCAGGAAATTAGCTATAGATGAGGAGCCCACCTTGCGCTCCTGGAATTTGGAGAAGGCAGGCCCAGTAGAGTGATATTGAAGGGCTTGCTCATGTCTACGATTCGCTCAAACAGTCGCATCACAATCTTGAGTAGTTTCTCCTGGGCCCCGTCCGCCAGTTGTACCTTGCTTACGCCAGTTTCTCCTGGACACACAGAGGTCTTAAAAAGGGAGGGTAGGATGTTGGCCTGTTTGGTCTCTCGGTGACTGCTCTTCTTCTGGGAATCGAACTTTCGCAACACCACCTTGATGGCGATGGGAACGCGTCCGTCCTCTGCAACCTAAGGGATATACAAATTAATTAATTGAACCAACAACTAAGGCTAACAAGAGATGTATAAAATAAGCTTGTTTACTACTTTTATAAATGTGTTGAAAGCTTACCTGCTCCACCAGCCGCTTGAGTAGCATACGGAACCTTTCCTCCACATCGGTTCGCACTGAGATAGGCTTGCAGGCATCTTCCATTCCAATGGTTTTTGGTTTTCCGGTAGGTCGAACGGAACTCGTGTCGCGACCGAAGGCCAGATCCCGCAGTCGGGTGGCCGTCTCAAAGCCGAATTTCTTCCGCATCACGTCCATGTCACACTGTTGCAACTGCTCCACAGATGACATGCCCGCCTCCATCAGAAGGCACTGCGTCTTCTGGCCAATCCCAGTGACTCGCTTTATGTCGCCCAGTTCCCGCATAAACTGCTCCGCATAGGTGGAAACTAGGACGGTCTGCTGATTGGGTTTGTGGCTGCTGCCGACCAGCTTGGCCAGCAGTTTGTTGTATGCGATTCCGGCGCAGCAGGTTATGCCCAGGCGAAGCTTAAGTTCCTCCCTGATTTCCTGGGCGATCCGAGTGCCAATGGCAAGTCGCTGGGCACAGCCGCAGCCGCAAGTGGACAAGGGGGTGCCATCCGCTGGATATATGTGACCCACTGGTGGCCTAAGCTGCGCCTCAGCGACATGAGCCTGTCGCAGTTCCACCAAGGCAGTTACATCCATAAAGTTTTCATCGAAGCCGAGCTTCTCCACCAGGGGAGTGTAGTTAAGCAGCAGGTCGAAGATTCGTTGCGACATCTGGCGATACGGAGCCAGATCCTCGCCATTGACGAGGACCAACTCTGGACAGATGCGTTGTGCCTCTGCTATGAGCATTAGCTTGGCCACTCCTTTGGCCCGCGCCACATAGTTACAGGTCACCACAATGTTCTTCTGCTGGATTCCAGGGCCTTCGACCGCAGCGTCGGATCCGAATCTCCTCCACCTGAGCGTAAAAGTAGTCCATATCCAGGTGGATGATGGTGCGCTGGTGCGCCTCGCTTTTACCGAGCACGCTGGCGAAGTCCATGACGTTCTGAGCGCCTGAAATTGCGAAAGGTCGTGAAACAGAATTCATAGAGCTGGTAGTAGGGCTGCAGTCGACTAACGGATACCGTGTTTTTTATACGAGATAATCCAAAGGAAATTTGCAATGTGTATTTTGAAAATTTCACTATTTGCACTACAAAAGTAGAAGTTAAAAGAAATTTATTTAGACTAAAAGTGTGACAGCTGAAATTGTTGATTTGGAAACCATGACAATATAGGACAATGTGAAGTAAATAAATTGAAATTTTAAAATTTGTTTATCTATACAATTAAGAGAAGATAAAGGTGTATTTCGCCAAAACTTCTACTGCTCTAATCTAAAGCTCCCATTATATGAGTAAATAAATAAAGGAATAACTATATTATAGATTATTCGTCACTAAATTGTAGGGATACGACCAAGAGGTTGCGTTCGTCACTTGTTTTAAATGTTATTGGTAAATCATTTCTTCAGGGTGTAGCGAATTTATACTCATCCTAACTATTCTAGCATACCCTTGTTTATGCAGGGTACTCTGATGCAAGTTGGGTGGCTGGCGGTGAAACAAAGCAAAGAGAGAGGAAGACAGAGAGAGCGCGAGAGAGTTCGGGTGCTCCGCTGGATGTGAAATCTGTTTTTGCTGGCCACTGTTGCTCGTTGCTTCTTCCTCTTCCACTGGCGCCGCCGACTTTCTAATCAAACATTGCGAAAAACATTCGAGCCAAACGCCAACGTGCACACACACAACCCAGAAACGAGTGCCGGCTAAACATTTACAGCGGGCCACAACAAAATATTGCACAAAGTTGACTGTTTGGCGATGACGCATTAGTTTGTGGCCGAGAAAACAACGGATTTGAAGGCGCCTTGGAGTTTCACAACCTCCAACTTAATCCCCCGCCACAACTCACCGGTGTTTCTCGAATACACGATTTTAAGCTCAAATGCACGCACCTGCAGTAATTTATTACTTTTAATTGGGGTTTATATTTACCTTAAAAACTAGAGGTGGAGGTACCCCGATGGCACTGTCGATGATTCTAGATGCATGAAATCGATATAAATTGCCTAAAGGGAAATCGTTGCTCAACCCTGGGTTCATGACTCTGCTTATTATTGAAGTGCGCTTAAGCCTGGGTGCTGTCACTCGCTAAAACTAGGGTTAAGTGCACCGCTAGTATATTTGGTGTTGCCACACTGGTTGAAAAAAAAACGTTTTTCTTAATAACGATAAACGCTTCCGTTAAACATTTGAATTTATTTAAGTTATTAGAAAAATACATTTATATTTAAGTGGTTCCCACAAAAAGACCAGTTTAGACCTCACTAAACTTTCAATTTTTGTAATAGGCCATAATATTTTATACTGAGTATTGTTTCATCTAGGCAAATATACCGAAATAAACACTTTGAAATATTTCGAATTAGATTTCAAAAATTTTTAATTGTTTTACTTATTTAATTACATCTTTGGTGTTTTAGGGATTTGAAAAATGCGTTGGATAAATAAACCAAATATCTATATAGAAGTTAAATAACTGTATAAGTGACTTCCCTCAAAATTTTATATCAGACCTCGTTAAAAGTCAACCTGATTTTTGGGTCTACTACGCAAATATATCTTGAATATCTTGTTTTGTATTACTTAAATGAGTAATTAATGTTGAAATATATGGTTGTTATTTAAAATTTATAAGCTAGTCAAGTCAAACCAAAGAAAGATTAAAATTTTTAAATTACATTATAGTTCTTTCATTAAACTACCAAAAAACAGTTTTCATTAATAAAATTGTTTTAGCAAATACGCAAGTAGCTTTTATTGCTGTTCATAAATGTGCTAAATCAAAACCAGTAATACAGCAGCTTTGAAACCAGTCTGGTTCTACTTTCCGGGTATAAAAGCCCGGATCAAATTCCAGATGCATCACAAGTTTCAACCATGAAGATCTTGCTATCTGCGCTTTCCTGCTCCTCGCCTTGGCATCCGTCCAGGGCGAACCCAACCTATAGGCAAAAATGTTCTCACAAGCACCCAAGGAAAATGAAGTACATTTATTTAAAGGAAACCGAACAAACAACTTCAATTATTTCGTAAAAAAGTTTCTTGATACAACATGTGTTGACAAAATATTTGAATAAAGAACTTTGAAAAGATTATAAATAAGTGCATTTTTTGAACAATAAAATGTGCAAAATATGAGGCATAATAAAAGAACCCGATGTTTAACAACACTTTGAATTATGAAGAGCTTGTTATTGGAATAAACTTGAAAATGAAAAAAAATATTACCAAACCAGAAAAATAAATATTTCTAATATCCAGCAATCTTATAATAGATTCCGGCTGGACCGTTTGGTATAAAAAGGCATTGCATTTACAGACAGAGCTAAAATCAACCGAAATGAAGATCTTGCTATTTGCGCTTTCCTGCTCCTCGCCTTGGCATCCGTTCAGGGCGATCCCAAGCCTTTTGACAAAAATGCTATTAGAAGTACCCAAGGAAAATAAAGTACATTTTTTAAAGGAACCAAATTAACCAATTGAAATATTTCGGAAAAAAGTTAAATTCTTAATACAACATGTATTACCAAGATATTTGAATAAATAACTTTTGAAAAGGTTATAAATATGTCCTTTCTTTAACAAAAAACAACAACGATGTTTAACAACATTTTTAATTATGAGGAGCTTATTATTGGAATAACCTTGATCTGCCATACGAACCAAACAAGAAAAATTAATATTTCTAAATCCAGTAATCTTATAACCATTCCGTCTGCCCATTTGATATAAAAAGCATTGCATTATAGACAGAGTTAAAATTAACCAAATGAAGATCTTCGCTATCTGTGCTTTTCTGCTCCTTGCTGTGACTGCCGTCCTGGCAAAACCAGATCCTTTGACTCCAAAACATATAAAAGTGGTCTACTAAACGCGTTTAGAGCACTAAAATATTTAGCTTTAATGAACTCCCAAAAGAATCGTGAAATATAGTGAAAGCCAATTAGCATTGTTTATTTCCAAATAAGTAACCTGTTTTATATCAAATCAATTGTCTGAGTTAAAGATGCAAAACGAATAATAAAGTGCTTTACTGATCATAAAAGTGGTAAATTAATTTAAGAAACGAGTTGAGGCGTCTTGAAGCCTTAGAGTGAAACGAAAGTATATCAAAATCTTGTTTAACTTGGATTACTGGACTTAATCTAATCAAAATTAGATCTTAGTTTGATTTAAAAGTACTGTCCCTATGACCAACTACCATTTTTGGGATGGAGGCATCGCATGTCAGCGCATTTGCTGTTATTACAATAATTTTACGAGTGGCCAGCCGCGATTTTTAATGATATTCATGAGTTTTATATTGGCGCAGTCTTCAACAAGATAAAGGCGCGTTCAAAAAAGGAGATATATATAATAAAATAAAGTAAAAGCACCACCCAGGTGGGTGGGGCTCTTCGAGTGGGGGAAATCGGGAAGTTGGGAGTTGGGGTAGTGGAGTGGTCACGCGCTTTCAAGCCCGCCAAGAATGTGGGGCAGCGCAGCTTTATGGCTCTCGTTTGGGTTTGTGGAATTGCCCGTGGTTGTGGTGTCGTATGAAATGCGCTCGGAATTCGCCAGCAGCAGAAGTGAGGCGGAAAAAAAGTAAAAAATATATATTTCGGCCAGACCTTCGCCTTGTTGTCCACTCCTCCAAGCTCCGAGCTCCTTGCTCCTTGCTCTTGGTCCCTACTCCTCCGTCGTCCTGCGCCTGTGATAATCGCCCCGCTGGCTGCCTGACAGGCAAACAATGCTGTGAATTTGATTAAAATCAGCCAGCGTGTGCGTCTCCACTTGGCTGCTCCTCGTGCTCCTCTAGCTCCTCGGGCTGCTTGGGCCGCCCCAGACTTTTGTCGTTATTGGAGCACTCCCCGGTAACATATAGTGGCTGCCCCACTCAGCTGCAGGCGGTGCTGCGGTGGTTCCACTAATTGCCAATCGCCAAATTTGGCCTGGGAAAGTCCCCCGGTTGCTGGAAATATTGCCGTTTTAAAGTGGCTCATGCTGAATTTGGATTGCAATGTATAGCCATCATTAGGGGGCTGAGATGATGGGTGGCTGGGGGCGGGAAAATGCATTTCTTTATGGCTTGCAGTGGCTGCTAATGAGCCCCAGCTGCCAGGAGGACACTTGTGCCTCTTTTTATGACCCTTCATTGAGAAAAATAAGGGCCTATAACTATTAAAAAGGTATCAAATTATACTCAGGTGGTGTTGAAAATACATAACATTAATTATATCTCAAAACATAGTACAGTGATTTTTGTTATATTAATAATTATTAAGTGATTTGCAAAAATACTGAGGGGTGCGAGACAAATCACTGGAGTTTTGAAATTACTTTTAAATATAATTTTAGGTGTCTAAAATTATGCAATGAATTAAGAATGGTCCCCTTTCTGAATGATTACATTGTCATTCCCAGCTTAAAATATGTTGTTGCATACTTTTAGATACCTAACATTATATTTAAAAGTGATTTCTAAACCCCTTAGGGTATTTAACTATAAAACAAAATTAACAGCATCCATATTTAAGTTAGCTTTTCGCAGTGCTAATTCTTTCGCTGGCTTCTTGTGAATTTGCAATGGGACTAAAAGCTAATTAGTTGCCAGGCTTTCTGGCCAGCCTCCTCGGTGGACCCATCCTTCTTTCCTGCAGTTCCAGTGGAGCGTTAATTTTTCCTCTGGATTGCACACAGGAGCCTCTTCAGATGAATGGTTGGGTGGTGGTGGGGTTTTCCTTTTTTTTTCGAGGAGGAGGAGTTTCCACCAGGATCATCCACACGGCGAAGCGAAACGGATGTTCTCGCGCAGCGTTGGCTCCGGTCCCGTTTTTCCCCCTCGGTCCACCCACTTTCCCACACCCACACCCACTGCCAGGTCATCCTGAATCTCGCTTTTTCCTGCCAGGGGGTGGGTGGTGTGTGTGTGTGTGTGAAAGCGAGATGGCGAGGGGGCAGCAAAATGTTAATAAATCTTATTTTTATCATTTGGCTATAAATACTGAATTTTTAGCTCCGGCCATGCTCAATTTATGGCCATTATTTATGTCGGAAAAGCGAAAACCTCAAACATGTTGCCACACTTTTTGCCCCATGCCGCTCCGCTCCAGGATCCTTTTTGGCCTGCATTGTGCATCCATTTTATTTGCCGTTTCGTCCAAGAGAAAGAAAGATACACAGGCCATATTATTGCAATTTTCCAGTTGCTCCGCCCACGCCGCAGTTTCAAGGAAGCGGAGCGAAAGGCAAGAAACCCAACGAAACCGAATGAAATATGAAAAATTGCATTACACCTTAATAAACACCTCACCTGGCGAGCGAACGGAGATTGCAGTGGGAGTGGGAGTGGAATCGGAAGCTGGAGATGGAGCTGGATTCACAAGCTGGAGGTATGGTCTATATCTCCCCCATCGCGAACGGAGCTCCAGCTTTTGCAGCTGTATGTGCCCCGAAGTTTGGCCATAATGAAGATTGTCTGCGGCCTAAGTGGACGCACGTTGCTCAGTTTCTGGATAGCCAATACCACCAGATGGATAGCCACACATCTGAGAAAAATGGACACTCAAAAAATTTCATTACCATACTTTACGGAGTTTTTTACTTTCAAATAGCAAATGTGGCATAAGAAAAAATTATAATCTATTTGTTAATTAAATTCCAAGGTGTTGAAAATAAAACTAAAAATACGTTTTGCTATAAATGGTTGATTATAATTTATAGGCTTAGATTAAAAACAGGTTAGGGATAATCATTTTTAGAGTTAAGGAATCTGTGGATTCTTCTGTTTTATTTTATTTAAGTTTATTTACTCCCTTAGTTTAACAAAAAATGATTTAAGTTAAGGATACATTTCTTAGAGAGTTTTAATATTATTTTAAGATTGGAGAAGTTTTGAAGAACTTAAAAATAGTTCTATAGTTTAATATGAACAATTTTGATATAACTTATATCTTTAAAAAAACTGTTCAACTAAAGGATATTGAAATTACTTCATATTAGAAATCGGT